GCGCTAACGTGGCAGGACGGCTGCCAGCCCCGGGGGATCTTTGTACCGTGGCGACTGACAACCGAGACGAGGTCCTGCGACGGGACCCAGCGCTGCAGACAGCCAGAGCATCCCTCACCCTCCTGGCGCCCAAGCCTCGTGGCCTTCCCACCCAAGAGGGGTCTGCTCTGGCCACCCAGAGCTCCCCACCCTTCAAGGGTGCCAGACAGCCGCACAGTGCCTCTGACCCCAGCGGCGCACAGCGTTCCCAAAAACCTCCCGACGTCGACGCGGCACGCTCTCATCCCCAGGGACAGGCAAAGCCAAACTCAGTTGCCAAGTATTTCTTGGGGGCTGGTAGCAGGCGTTCGCGCATCCCACCGCAGAGCCCAGGCTTTCCCCGAGAAGATGTCCAAAATCAGCCCTTGCTTCAAGGCCTAACTCTGCCCACAAGGGTTTTTGCTAGCAGAACGTGGAGGGGACCCGCAGCAGCGCTCTGCAGGGCGCAGTGCCCCAGCACCCTGTCTGCGACCTACCAGCAGTTGTAGAGGCACTTGTCTCCATAGTTAGCGCAGAGAGCCTGCTCGTGGCTACAGGATGACAGCTCGGAGGAAGGGCTGTGCAGTTCCCGCTTGATCTTGGCCGGAGGTGGGGCGTGCAGGACCACTGCAACGAGAAAGAGGAGGAGGACGCTGCGACCCGCGCGCTGTTGACTTGCGGCCTCAACTCTGAGCTGGCATGGATGGGAGACGGCGACGGGCGATGCTACTCCAGGGTAGCATCTACAGGCGGTGCTCTCAGTGCCCAATTCCTGAACAAAATTAACCGTGGGGGCTAGGACGGCCACCCGATTGGCTCAGGCTGTTGACACCAGCCAGACACCCACACGCATGCCCACAAGGGCAAAGCAAGAGCAGGCTCTGCATGAAGGGGCCAGCGCTGGCCTTGCCCGGCAGGGGCAGACAGAAGGATCGCTTGTGCCTCTTAGGTCAGGCTCTGCTCAAGGCCATCAGGCCACCAAAGCAGGGCAGGATAGGTCTCCAAGAGACCTATCTTTCCAGCCTGCACCTGTTAGCGGAGTAGCAGCAAGATGCTCACCAGCCCCTTGACCTGGAGCACTTCTATGGGGGAGAAGGTGGCCGAATACACCTGTGGTGGGGAGAACAGCCGCATAGCCCCTTGCGGGGGCTATGCCACCAGCACCACAGCCCAGCCCACCTTGCCTATTGCCCTGAAGGACATTTGCCACCAAGGGACCAAGCTATGGTGGCAACCAGGGATGCAAGAGCTGGTACAACCAGCAGGCAGGGCCCTGCACACTCTCCAAGGACGCTGTCCTTGGCACGATCTCCGCTTGGCACAGCCAAACACGGACCCCTTGCTCTGCTCCTCTGGGCACGCCTGAGACAGGGGGAGGAGATGCGGTTCGCTTTGGAGCTCTGGGAAGGAAGAAAGTCCTACGGTTGCATAAAAACTGGAGGAAGGACACCAAATAACTGCAGGAGAGCAGATATCTGGACTTCCTCAGTCACTTTAGCCATGGGTGCTAGTTCTGCATCGTGAGGCTTCAAAAAAGACCACCTGGGTTTACGGACAAGACCCCACTCTGCACATTTAAAGCTCCTTTGAGCTAAATTTGCTCTTCTCTGCCTGACAGCACGTGCCAAAGCCCAGACTGCCCCAGCTCCTTGGCACGAGGGTACTGGCAGCCACAACTTCTGAATGAATTTTAGTTGCTCCACTGAGCCAGCAGCAAAATACTGGACCCTCGACAGCACCCAGGAAGCTCATATCCCACAGCAGGTGGATTTGTTAAGACTCCTGCTCTGTTCCCAGGTCAGCAACATGGTGGTGGTGGGGGAACATGGGTCTAATCCCTCCCTTCTACGTGCCGGAGCCAGAGGCTGCCAATCCTGCTTCGGCCACAATCAAGCCCAGGGAAGCGGGCGAGAAACACGGGTGCCTGCGTGTCGCTGGGATCCTGGAGCTTACGGGCTAATAAGTGGCTCACCCAGCTCCAAATTAGCTGGCCAGAGCCACGCGAGCGGCTCAAGTAGATCCACTTTTCTCCTGGAATTGGCCCAAACAAGGTGAGCTGTGTCCTGCTGGACACGAACTCGGCCGCCTGATCAGGAGGAGTCAATCCTGGGACCCCCCTGGGGATGGTGGGCGATGGAGAGCCACAATTTTAAGAGTTCAACCGGCAAACGTCCCACTAAACCTAAATCCTTCCCAGCCCCACCAAGCCTGCTCACTATATATAATTTTAAACCAAGTAATATACGCTTAACCTAATCAACTTCTAAAACTGGACACTCTAGGAAAGGGAAAGTGCGTCAGAGATCTTCACCTAAGTAGCAAGGGAGCCAAGACTAATCGGAAAAGGAGCATTAGCTCCGTGCAAAGTCTAAACACAGCCCAGTTAAATCAGGAGAGGAACCAATCGCTCCAGGACAACTCTTCACAGCTTGCCAGGTAATTAGCTGCTCCCCTAATTTGTCAAAACCTTTAAAGAGCTGCTGATTCCCCTCTCCCCCCCCCCCCCCCGCAGCCCAGCGCAGCTGGTACCAAGGGCATAAAATCCCCAGAGGAGCACTGGAAACATGAAGCCCAGGTTGTCTCCTCTCTAGCGCGGAGGCACGAGCGGGCCCCGGCGAGCGCAGACCCTCGCAGCGCCTTCAAACGCTAAGGAGCCCGATTTATTTCTCGTCTCTTTTCCCTCCCCCTCGAGATGAGTTTCTGCTGCCTTCAGCATTTCTAGCGTTAATCCCGGCCGGCGCAGTGACTGCTCGGGCCCAGGCACCCAGCAGGAAAGCGAAGGGGAACTTGCTCTGGAAGCGCTCCAGCTGCCTATCACGGGCATGTTTCTCTCTAACAGTCTCGGTGTTGTTCGAGCCGGGCTGTTTTTCCGCCAGCCGCACAATGGGGTCTGGTTATTCATTGAAAAAAGTCTCCGAGCGGGCACCACCCTCCATTCACAAACAATTCGGAACGCTCCATTCATACCGCGAGGGGGGAAAAGGAGGGGAAGAAAAAAAAAAGAAAAGAGAAGAAAAAAAAAAAGGGAAAAAAGATTTTTTTTTCCTACCCCCTCCATAGCTTAGGGCTGCCATTCAAGAAAAGGGAAACGATACTTAAGATCATAACAGAGACCAGCTGTCCGCATAGAGAAGCCCGGACTCGGGGCAACGTTTGAATTCCTTACATAAACACGGCAGGGCCGGCCCGCGCTGCTCTTCAAGACTTGGCCTTTCCGCCAAGTTCATTCATAAAAGAAAAAAA